TGATTTAGCAAACATAAAAAACAACATAACCAAAATTAAACAAATCATTTGGTCAAATATATGATCAATACATTTTAATTCAAAAAACAAAAACCTAAAAAAACAATTAAGGCAACCGAGTTAAAACAAATTTGAACTTCATACATCCTTCAAGTTACCAACAATTTGCAAAAAAATGTTCAAAGCAGTTTGTCTTTTATTCAATTCACTTGTGAATTGAATAAATCCCATGTGAAGGTGTAAGTGAAAACCAAATCAGAACCATCACAATTATAACTTGAATCTATTACATGTATAATTTCAGGATTTGATTACAAATAAAAGCGTCTTGATATTATAATTGAATTCTTTGTTCGGCTCGATATTTTTATGAATCATAATAATAAATATAGAAACCAATAATAAACAGTGATTTATTTAAACAAAAAAACAATAATTAGTACTAACTGTCATACATATAACATTAACAATAAACACTCAAACTGTATATATTAATAATAATATCAATCAATTTTGATTTTTTTAAAATACTAAATGTTATGAACACTTTTAAAAAAGACAAAAATTGACAATTACACAATCAACCGTAAAGTCTTTATGACATGTTTCTTGACAGTTAATTACATTAAAAATGATAAAAATAATAGTATATTTTAATAAAATAAACTAAAATAACACAAATTAAAAACTGGTTTAATTTATTATAAATAAAAGAATAAAAATAGAAATTGTTTAGTAGTCGTAATTCACAGGGAAATACTCATCCCCTCTTTTTTCATAAATTGGTGGCGCAAATAGTTTTTGTCTTAAAGTGTTTTGTGCCTCCATAGCTTTTTCCATTTCTCTATTATAAGGAAGTGAATAATCAAAATTTTCTCTAAATAATTCGCCGACCACATTCCATCCATCTTTTTTCTCTCTTTCATCATAACACACTCGAATAAGTGCCTTACCCGAAACAATTGTATTTCCATCATTTCCACCTTTCAAATAGAACCACGTCTCTATATTCCTCCCAAACTTCAGATGTGTCAAATCAAACTCCACGCATCCAAGAAACACGTCACTGATTAAAAATCTTTTATGATAAAAATAAACAACAACATTCTTTCTATTTGGGTTTAATGGAATAACAAAACGAGCATTCTCGTAGACTTGGTCGACGCTTCTGACTTCTTTTGATTTCACCAATTTTCCACTTTCATTAATAACTGCGCAAAAGACAGTCGATGGCGTTTCAAAATCTTTTACACACAATCCAACAGACTCAACAACTTCGACTGTTAAAATTGGACTCGCGCAACCACTTAGAGCTGCTTGTGTGACTTCCAAGCTCTCCTCTTCTAAGTCCCACACCGCTTTCTTGTTGATATAGTCCACTATATATCGTTTACCTCGATATACCCCAAACACACACCCACTCGGCAACGTCTCAGACTCTAGAAGAGGATATTTGATATCAACACTTTGTTTGGTGGTATCCAAAACGACTCGGTTGATGTGGTCCAACAACACTTCTTTGTGTCCGTTGGAGTCTATCACCACTTTCTCTATGCCACCGTCACAACACAGAAAATTTTGTGGCGGGTCGGGGAAGGTATATTTTTCGTCGACAAAATGAATTGGACTTTTCTTTTGATGTTCTTCAATTTGTGCCTCGTCGGGGACATTAGATACTATATTAATATTATAAAGTGTTTCTATATGGTCTTCCGTCTCTTTTTTAGGATTTTGTACCATTTCTATTGCTATGAAATACATCACATTCACGTCTATTCTATTTAAACTGGGCGGTAAAGTAATATCTTGATGAAAGACTATTTTAGTCTCACTTATTCGTTGTGCGCCACTTATTTCTTCTGTTTGAATAACATTTTTGTAATTGAAGTAGTATGTGCTATACATTTGTATTAACGAAACTTTGTAATCTTGATTCTCATGTGGACTTCTTGACTCAATCTTTATATGAAAAATGATGTCTTCCCCTATAAAAAACTCCTTTTTTGAAATTAGAAGAGTCACCATGGACTCCCCCATCATAAAACAATTTCGAATTTCCGTAAATATCACTTTTTCGATAACTGGCATACTAAATACGACGGGAAACAGGGTTACATCACCTTTTAATAATTTCTTCTTACTTACAAAGAAAGGTGTAACTCCATAACAAAAATCAATTTTTGTATGGTCTTCATTATATAAAGACGAAGGTGGGGTGTTAAGAGGGACTTTAAATGAAAAAGGAAACGTGTAAACCCCCGGAATATACTCTTTTTCAAGTCGACTCTTTGCACCAATTAATTCTATTATATCTATTTGGTTTGAATTAATATCAGTCGTGTTTTGCAAATAGAAAGCTTGTCGTTCGTTATTATAATTTATGGAAGCAGGATATGGCATTATTACCTTGGTTTTATTCGTTTCCATTCTTAAAGTAGTGTATCTCATTGATATTTCAAGGTACCCATAACTTAATGTTATCGAAGAAACAGTTTCAAAAACAACATAACCAGTAATAATCTCGTCAAAACGCCCAGATTTGGTTATAACAGCACTTAATTTCATTATTTGTATTTTCAATTCGGAATAAAAAGTTTGAATGTTTTTGAATTGTTATTAATTGTTATTAATTGGTATTATTATCAAAAATGTCTAATATTGATTAATTTAATTTTATTCAAAAATACATTTTTTTATTCGTTGAATTTATTAATCATAAATAATATAGTAAGTTTATTATAATTATATTATATACTTGTATTTTGGATTGTGATCAAATGTTATATAGTCAAAGGCGTATATTTGTCGTGAATCCAGCAGAAAAACGTATCTATTTGTCGTAAATGAGTGAATTTTGTAAAAAATTCTATTTAATATTGAAATTTATTTTTTATAAAAAATTTAGTTTTTAATTCAACAAAAGTTACAGATTCAAGAACAAAATATTTAATTGTCGTACACCAAAATGATTGGTTAGTTGTGCGACAATTAAGCAACTTCGACAATTATAATTACGACAAATAGACGCATTTGACTGTAATTACACAAACAACCAACAAATATCTTATTTTAGTTAACTGGTAAAAACAAAAATAATTATGTTTGTAAGGTTAAATTATTAGTTAATTCACATTTTTATACACTTTTAATAATTTTAAAAAAAGTAATATTATTATTATATTAAGACAACGTCTTACATTAATAATTCAAATGTTTGTTTAACAATAAACAATAACCAATAGCCGGGTTTAAAGATATAACAATTTCTTCGTTAAATCATTCACTTTCCTTTGAATTTGCATATTGGTGAAGTAAAAATCTAGTCGCAGAAAACTCCAGTTCAATAAGAAGCTCTGTTGCTGTTATTGCAAAGAACATTTGTATTGATTTGCATAGTCTTGAGTATTTTTATTTGATATTTTTTGCATTTATTTTTGATAATAAACAACATATCTCACACAACTATTGTCGTTGTCATCACAATATTGATCAAACTCTGTTTTACAAGTTTGAGGTTTTGTATTGTAATATCTCATGCATCTGAATCAGTGACATAGTTGTTAACAATTTTTGTGTTTTCCATATAATTAAATTTTGATTTTTTAATGGTTATTTTTTCATTTTAATAATAATTTTATCTCTTATTTCTTTTTTTATTTCCAAATTTTTAAATCCAGATAACTTGTATTCAGGAGTAACAAAAGTTGAAAAAAAGATAACACGTATTCATAAAATATACGTTAAAACTGTACAATATTTCGTTTAGTGTCAGCAACACCCATAATTCGACACACCCAAAAATATAATTGGAACAAAAAACATCTGAACTTTTTTGACAATTTCATTTTTACATTACAGTTGATATTGTTCATTTTTAATGATAAATAATAATGTGTTGTTGTTATACTTCCGTATTTTGGACTCAATTTTTCACAACAACTTCAGTTTCACAAGAAATTAAGTAGTCTATATATACTATAATTATTTTAATTAAACATGGTAAAATCAAGTTTATTGAAGGTTCATATGCACTTCTAGTTTTTTCAATGAATGTGTTTACCTTTTTAAAATACATTTAAATTTTCTATTAAATTCCATTATTTTTGTTCAAGTCATTTTACATTTTTAGTTTAATCATTAAATCAATTGCATTTTTATTAAACTTCCGAATGTTGTAAATAGAGTGTTAAATATTGTAACGACTCTTTCAACAACATGAATTTTTTCATTTGAAACTCACCAAAAATTGAATTCAACTATTTAATTGTTTTTTTAACAAATTTCTTATTTGTCTTTTATTTCTTTAACTAATCTGTCTACATTAAATTATAACACCTTGAAGGCAACAATTGTATTGGTTGGATTGTTATTGTTGACAATTAAATATAATATTTTTATTTTTGCATCTAATATTGAGTAGTAAAAAGAAAAAAAATCATGGTCAATTTATAAGGTTTTTTATTGAGTTTGTGAATTCTGCAAAATATCTTTATATTTGACACAAAAACTCATTAATACCACCATTTAACCTTTCAATTGTATTATTTGGATTTCAATTATCTCAAATATTTTATTTTTCGAAAAAACGATATGTGTTGAAGTCCTTGCTTTTGCAAGAACTTCAACTCCCTCAGCCGTAGTCTCAGTTTTCAACCCGACCAAATGAGCGAGGTTATTATATCTCTCGTCAGCCATACACATACAAGTTGTACTTTGGACACATCGCCAACTTTCTTGGAACAACACCATTGTATCGAATAACATGTGGTAACAACATTGCAACAGATCGACCATATGGAATATGGAAAGCAGCTCCTATTTTATGGACCATTGAGTGAAAAATCTTAAGGGACGCGGAAGAAACAGCCAAACCAGCAATGATAGCAACGTTGTGCACCTCCTCTCTGGCAACAAAACCCCGTTGAACAACTCGACCAAGTTGTCGAAGACTAATTCGACTGCTTCTTTAGCAAGACCATCTTTGTATTTATCAGCCATAACCGAGACATAAGCCTCAACTGCATGGACCAAAAAATCGATACCACAGTCTGCTATAGCTCTTTTGGTAATGAGACACAGAACATTGGGTCGATGATAGCAACTGATGGAGTCAATAATAATCTTCAAGTGGACACTTCTTGTTGGTTTCAATGTTCGAGGTGGAATGACTTCAGACGCCGTGCTAGTTGTCAAAGAATTCATGAAATCAATTTGTGAGAAGGATGGCAAGAGTGTACACTGAAGAATTCAAGTATGGTAAGATCAAGATTTTCTCCAAGGTTTGTGTTCTTGCTAAAATTGAAGAGAGGAGAAGAGTCGATGAGGAACCACAACTAAGGACAAAGAAATTGAAGCTTTGAAGAAGAAGCTTGCTGAAGAAATTGCAAAGAGAGAAGTCGCTGAGATGGCACTTTCTGAGATGAAAATCAAGAACGTCGACTTGGAAGCTTTAGTTAAAAAGCTTAAAGAAGATATTGAGTCAAAGAATGTTTCACTTGACAAGGCTGATATGAAGTCACAAAAGATAAAGAACACATTGAGGAACTCCAAGGTGATATTAAGAGAGGAAAAGAAGACTTGAGCAAGTTAACCACTGAGTACAAGTAACTTGAAGCCGATAATCAAAGACTTTAAGATGAAATTACTGAGCATAAAGCGACTATTGCTAAGAAGGATAGTGTCATCACTGAGTTGAACAAAGACATTGAAGATAAGGAAGGCGAAATTTCCGATTTATAGAAGAAGCTTGAAGCCGAAGAAGACAATTCAAAGGATCTTGAGACACAATTACGCGTGAAAGAAGACGACATTGCTTATTTGGAGAAGGAGGTTGCTGTGTTGAAAGATCAAAACACTCGACTTGATGCTGCTAAGAAAAATATGAAAAAGTGGTCTATCGAACGCAACGAAGATTGAGAATTATGAATAACAGATTAATGCACTTGAAGCACAAAAGAAGATGGATTTGGACGACAAAGCGGATGCTGAGAATATTGCAGCGGACCAATCTGATAGAAGAAAGAATATAGAAGACCAAATCAAAGCACTCAATGCCAAGTCTCGTCACTTAAAGTCCAAGTCAGTGCACCAGCTTCTGTTGCTCAAGAAGAAGAGAAGAACATGTTGAATGCAAGAATTCCTGGAGTTTAAACTCAACCAGATGAAGAAAGACAGAAGGCTGACAGTGCAGATGTTGCTTGAAAAGTTGATGAGAGCAAATTGCAGGAAGTCCAGTTCAACTTAGATAAAACAAATAACACTAAAGAAAAGTTGATAAAAAAGGTTAATGAGTTGATAGTCCAAGTTGATCAACTCACTGATGAGAAGAAGAAGGATGAGAAGGATTTGGAGAAAATGGACAAGATGATCAAAGACTCGAATGCTAAAGTTGACAAGGCACAGAAGCAACTTGACACTACAAATGATGACAAAGATGGCAATGAAGCGATGAAACAGAAATACCAAGACGAACTGAAGAGCGTTAGAACTGAACTTGATCAAGAAAAGAAAGACCACTCCAAGACCCAATTGATTAAAGGAAAGTACGAGAAAGATATCGCTGAAATTATAGTCAGAGCTGAAACTCTTGAGAAGAAGTCCAAATGGCTGAACAAGAGAAGGTTAAGACTATGAGAAACTATAAAGAACACATTAAAAGAGTTGATAAAAACAATAACCGAACTCGACGAAAAATGAACATGATTACTTTGAAAAACAATCTAAAATGAGAACAGAGTTGAAGACTATTTGAAAAATTTGCTAAGACTTACAAACAGTCAAAAAAAATGCGAAAAGAAGTTGAAAATGTTCTTGAACTCAATTGTTTCTCCTTTACTATCATGTGAGGTGCACGTAATCAAGCACCTGTAGCAACACATCAAACAGAACAACGTTGTTATGTGATCTTCTTCTGACAACCTCTGTCGATCAATCGTGAGACGTTGTGCGACATATATTCCCACTCATGTCGGTTTTGATGATGTTGTTCTCGTCATCAAACAGTTGATCTGCAAGTGTTTTTGCAAGCTCCGGTTTGCCAACATCATTCATCCCGAGGAATATGAACGAGTCGATCGCTTGTCTAAGCCAAGACCACTTCTGCTTCTCAGAATAGCCTCAGAGACCGCAATCACAACCTCGTCCTGCCCAACAACTCTATTATGCGGCTCGTCACCAAGTTTCAGGAGTCTTGTCTTCTCACTGTGTCGTTCTGCTTACTAAAATGTCTATCCATTAACTCACAACGTCTTCAATCAGCTGTGGGGTCACTTGCAACGACAGCATCGATTTCTCTTTTGTCTGGTTCTTCAATTCAGTGAGTCGTATCTTTGCTTCTGGAATTGCATAACACTTCAAGTCTGCGACAATCTCAAAGATTTTGTTGTCTGCTTCAGCTCTTTCAAGAGCGATCTTATCGATTGTCAGTTGTGTGTCTTTTTTTTCCAAGTTGTCAATCTCCTCTGGCTGCGAGTTCTTTTGTGCGAATAGTGTTGCACACGACTCATGACCAAATCGATTGCTTGTATGGCAAGAACTTTGTATTAATTTCACTTTTTGACAGCTGCAACAAGAGCCGAGTCAGTGAATTTCAGTCCGTGGTGGCTCTTATACTTCTCAATGATGCCTCTCACGATGTACAAAGTGTCCTCTTTGCTAAGCGGCGTAGACCTGCTGAAATTGTCCCTCAAATACACCGTCTATCTCAACGTACTTTCTGTATTCTTTATGTGTTGTCACTTCAATGCACCACAACTCCCCTCTCGACAATATTGGCTTCAGGATGTTTGCCGCATCCATTGCACCCTCTCCGGTTGCACCAGCACCCAAGACAGTGTGGATCTTATCAATAAACAGAATAATTGGGTTCTTTGATTCTTTCACCTTCTTCAAGATCGCCTTCAGTCGTTCCTCAAACTGCTTTCTGTGCTGCGCACCAGCAATCAGAGCACCCATATCAAGTGCAATAACTCTGCACTGCAAGTTTGAAGGAACACATCTTTCGAACTTTTACTATCCGCGGCACCAAACTTTTTACATGTATCACCAAACCAATAAGCCGACAAAGAAACCAACGCTTAGAGCTATAGTTATAGAATCAGAAGCTAACGCTATTGATTGCAGCTATTAGATTTTCAATTCAGAGCAAAGTACGAAACAGAATTGGAAGGAATTGAAACGGAAAAGGAAGAATTACAGAACGGTGCAACTAAATAATAAAAAAAGCGAAATGGTAGACAAGAAAGACTGAGTAGGCCTAGAGAAATATTGCATGTTTCGAACAGAAGCAGTTTATATGCAAATTGAAAAAACACAAGTTGATATGAAGAAGACACAACCATCAGCCGGAGACGGTGAATTGTTGAGTTGAAGGGCTTGAGATGATCTGAACAACAGACAGTTTGAAGTTGATTAAGTAAGTGTAAAAATTGAGAAAGCTAAGAACACTTTGAAATCAAGCAAAATACAAAAAACAAGGATTAACTAATTATTATATAATTATAGTTTTTCAATTAAAGTCCGGTTTTAAACAAAATCAATGTTATAGTCTACTTATTTGTAAAATAATGTATTTTATTATTGTTTTAATGGTTTGATTGTGACTAGATGCCTCTAGTTCATTAAAGATAGACTCCAACTTATATTCTAAATTAGAGTCTATAAGTATATTCGAATAATTTCACAAGAAAAGCTTTTTGCAAACAATTTTCATCAAGTAATGGATATCTCCAATAACAAAAAATTGGTGATAAACTTTAAATTTATGATTATAAAATATACATCGACTTCTACACACCAATCACGAGAGCACACTTTGAAAAGATAAACATTGACCTTTACAAGTCGATCGCACCAGTAGAGAAGGTGCTTGAAGACTCAAAACTGGACTAAGGACGCATTTACGATGCTGTGCTGATTGGTATATCAGGAATATTCAAAAGGTGTTGGGAAGATACTACAAAACTTTTTCAATGGGAAAGAGTTCAACAAAAACATCAACCCAGACGAGGCAATTGCTTATAATGTTGCTGTGCAGACTTCTTTGACTGGAAATGGAAAGGTAACAAAAGATGTGTTACTGATTGGTGTTGAAACTGACACTTGGGATAGAGACAGCTGCGGTGTGATGACAGAACTGATACCACACAACTTAACAATTTCAGCATGTAAGTCACATTATTTTCGACACATGCAGACAATAAGCCTGGCTTGCTCATTTAAGTCTTTGAGGGCATCTGTGACATCACATTGCAACCCGCTTGAAAAGTTAGAATTCTTTTCGATAATTAATAAAAAAAATCATTGTTATTAAATCCACTTTTTCCACACTTCTTTGGATTTAAAGTTCCGCCTCTCACAAGTGAAAAAAGTGTAAGAATCGCCACCGTTAAATAATTTGCCAACAACATAGATATTGCCAGTGAACACGTCACTAAATATGTTGTGCTTTACATCTTCAATTATAAAGCACAAATTGCGTTTGTTCATGACTTTTTCATCTAAAGCCAAAGAACTGGGTAAAAATAACATCCTGTTTTAATCGCATTTTAAATATTGATTTTTCAAAATAAAAAGCGTGGGTTCAAAGTTTATTGCAAATATTGATTGGATCGATCTTGAATGCGCATAATTATAACGATTTTTAATACCGCAGTTTTTTTAAATATTAAGTCACTTTTTATTGTTATCTGGTGGACACAAAATAGATTTAATTTTGTCTAAAAACGGGCATTAGGCAAAGTGTGAAAACCCCCGAAACAATTGGGATGGGTTTTTGAAACGGCTTTCCCAAATATTTCAATCTTTATGGTCCAAAAGGTACCAGATAACGTTTAAAGACTGTATTTATTAAAAATATCAAATGTGTTTTTTTATGAATTAATGAATATTAAAATTTTAATTGTTTTATTGAAAGTCTTTTTGTAAAAAAACAACTTGTAAAATTATTTCTTATTTTCATTTTAAATTTAAACTTCTTCGTTTTTTGGTTACATCATTCGATTTAAGTCACACAAATGCAATGTTAATAATTTAGAAATTATTTAATTTCAATTAATTTAAAATAACATAACAATATAATGATAATCATCTTGTTAATTAATAAAAACGTTTTTAATGCACATAATAATCATTTTACAATTAATATATTTTTTATAATAAAGCAGTCCCATCAAATACAAATATATATTAAACAAATCGTCAATTGTTTATTTTAAAGGGTTTCTTGAGGATAAGGTGTATCCTCAGGATTAAAGCTATCCTTATTAAAAAATATTTTTCTGAGGATACAAAAAACAAATCCATAATGTTCAGTTCCCCATAAGGCCCACTTTCATAACTCAAGTTATAATTTACACTTAATATTTCGAGTCAAAGTTAAATTTTAAATAATGGTAATAATTTGTCATAAATGCCAAAAAATTAAAAACAATCAAAAAATCGCCACAATAATCAGTAAACAAAAACAATAATTATATATCACGAACTTGAGACGGAAAATAACAAAACATGAATTAAACTTGTTCATATTATGATTATAAACTTATTGATATTATTTACGAATCTGTCTTTATAACACAATAATTAAAATTTACATTTAAATTGATAATTGTTTTTTTATCAAAATGAAAATTGAAAAAGTCGAAAACACTGATTTAATAATAATGCATTTTTAAAAAAAACAAATTTATTAATAATTTTGAAATTTATGCAATTATTCAAATTTATTATAATAACAAAGTTAATCATATTGTGTATATTTTAATATGATTGTTTCATTTTGATATTAACTTGTGTTTTAAACAAATATACAGTTCTGAGGATGGCAATTATTTTCTGAGGATGACAGAAATAGAAAGTTTACACTTTTACATCTATCTGAAATGTATATTGAGTAAGTTACTATTTTTGAATATGGGAACACGTCAT